CCCCTTCTGAGCATGGGCCTGGCTCCATGGCGCCATTGTAAACCTGGCACTGACCCTACATCGTTTATAGGGCCCTACCAAATTCATGGCCATGAAAAATGCACTACTGACTGTGAAATCTGGTCTCCCCCTGTGAAATTTGGTCTTTTGTGTGCTTTTACCCTATACTATACAGATCTCATGGGGGAGACCAGTGTTTCTCAAATTGGGGGTCCTGACCCAAAAGGGAGTTGCGCAGGGGGAGGAGGGGGAGGGAGGAGTCCACAAGTTTATTTTATGGGGGTTGTGGTATTGCCACTTCTGTGCTGCCTTCAGAACTGGATGGCTGGAGAGTGGTGGCTGTTGGCCAGGCGCCCAGCTCTGAAGGCAGCACCAGCACAGAAGTAAGGGTAGCAATACCATACCATGCCATGCTTACTTTGTGCTGGTGCTGGCGGTGGCTCTCCCATTAGAGTTGGGCTCCCAGTTAGCAGCCACCGCTCTCCAGCTGCCAGCTCTGAAGGCAGCCTGCTGCCAGCAGCAGCACAGAAGTAAGGGTAGCAGTACTGTAACCCACCCTACAATAACCTGAACCCCTCCCGCCCTGCAAACTCCTTTTTGGGTCAGGACCTCTACAATTACAACACCGTGAAATTTCAGATTTAAATAGCTGAAATCATGAAATTTACTATTTTAAAAATCCTATGGCCATGAAATTGACCAAAATGGACCACAAATTTGGTAGGGCCCTAAACATTTATTTGATGTGAGTTTTGCCATTGATTGCACTAGGAGCAGAATTGAGCCCTAAATTCTTTTGCAGTAATTTTGTGATAGACAGTAAGCCTTTAGTAATTAACTGTCCAGTTATTATGATGTTACAGATTTAATATTTGACCCTGAAAGCCATTCAGGTCAACAGAGCTCAGGTATTTTTATCACCTCCAGTACTAGACGATACCGGTATACAAACACCAGAATACTTTTGCTGCTACTGGTTTACAGGTCCTAATGCAGGACAGGTCTCTAAGTGTATCCTTTCAATGACATATGTATAATACAGATGTAAATGATCTGGTAGTGAATTACAGATGTAGATATACAGATGTAGATGATCTGGTAGTGAATTACTGGTCCTAATGTTTCTAATGTAGGTGCAGCCCTAAAACTGCTTTTTTTTGAACATAGTCACTTTTGAAAATTCAGGTTGACAGTGTTCCCTTTAACAGAGGAATAAGCTGCAAGAAAATGCCAGTACATCTCACACAACAAAGATTTTTCAGAATATTGTCCCTAATGAAAATGTGGTGTGAAAAAACAGAAAACATGATACATCAGCAAAATTGTCTCTGAATAGTGTTCTCCGGAGTTTGACATGAGACCCTAATCAGCTTCTATGATCCATTTTTCATAAAGAAACATGTTAATAAAAATGGGATGTATGCAATTTATTAGAGCTTTTCTGAAACTGTTGTAAGTATCAAGTATCAGGGGGTAGCCGTGTTAGTCTGTATCTACAAAAACAACAAGGAGTCTGGTGGCACCTTAAAGACTAACAGATTTATTTGGGCATAAGCTTTCGTGAGTAAAAACCTCACTTCTTCGGATGCATAGAGTGAAAGTCCACTTTCACTCACGAGGTTTTTACTCACGAAAGCTTATGCCCAAATAAATCTGTTAGTCTTTAAGGTGCCACCAGACTCCTTGTTGTTGTTGTAAGTATATGCATAGATCAAGATAAATAGCTATTACAAATGTGGATCAAGCACTGGGTTGCTGAACACCCCATCAGTGAGTGCTCAGCCCCTTGAAATATTTGGCTCCAAAAGTCCAATCCTGCCCCCCACTGAAGTCAGTGACAAAATTCCCATGGCAGCCACCAACTGAAAAGAACAACAAAGAGTTCTTTCTCTCAGTGCTGACTCTCAACAGTCCGTCCGTCCCACATATCTGGGAATACAAAGTAAATGTAAAGTTTTTACAAAGTCAGTATTTCACAACCTTTTTTTTTATTTTCAGCACTCTAGGAACAAGAGCAGATGGACTCTTTGTGAGCCTGCACCTTGTGTAGTGATTGACACCCAATCCGCAGGGATCAGTTCTGGGTCCAGTTCTATTCAATATCTTCATCAGTGATTTAGATAATGGTATAGAAAGTACACTTATAAAGTTTGCAGACGATGCCAAGCTGGGAGAAGTTGCAAGTGCTTTGGAATGATCTGGACAAACTGGAGAAATGGTCTGAAGTAAATAGGATGAAATTCAATAAGGACAAATGCAAAATACTCCACTTAGGAAGGAACAATCAGTTGCACACATACAAAATGGGAAATGACTGCCTAGGAAGGAGTACTGTGGAAAGGTATCTGGGGGTCATAGTGGATCATAAGCTAAATATGAGTCAACGGTGTAACACTGTTGCAAAAAAAGCGAACGTCATTCTGGGATGTATTAGCAGGAGTGTTGTAAGCAAGAAACAAGAAGTAATTCTTCCGCTCAACTCCGCGCTGATTAGGCCTCAACTGGACTATTGTGTCCAGTTCTGGATGCCACATTTCAGGAAAGATGTGGACAAATTGGAGAGAGTCCAGAGAAGAGTGACAACAATGATTAAAAACAACGAGGGCTAAAACCCACGAAAGCTTATGCCCAAATAAATGTGTTAGTCTCTAAGGTGCCACAAGGACTCCTCGTTGTTTTTGCTGATACAGCCTAACACGGCTACCACTCTGAAACCTGTCAAAAATGATTAAAGGTTTAGAAAACATGACCTCTGAGGGAAGATTGAAAAAATTGGGTTTGTTTAGTCTGGAAAAGAGAAGACCAAGAGAGAACATGATAACATTTTTCAAGTACGTAAAAGTTTGTTACAAGGAGGGAGAAAAATTGTTTTTCTTAACCTCTGAGGATAGGACAAGAAGCAATCGGCTTAAATTGCAGCAAGAGAGGTTTAGGTTGGACATTAGGAAAAACTTCCTAACTATCAGAGTGATTAAGCACTGGAATAAATTGCATAGGAAGGTTGTGGAATCTCCATCACTGGCAATTTTTAAGAGCAGGTTAGACAAACACCTGTCAGGAATGCAGGGCCGGCTCCAGGGTTTTGGCCGCCCCAAAAAAAAAAAAAAAAGCCGCGATCGCGATGTGCAGCGGCTATTCGGCGGGAGGTCCTTTGCTCTGAGCCGGAGTGAGGGACCGTCCGCCGAATTGCCGCTGAATAGCTGGACGTGCCGCCCCTCTCCGGAGTGGCCGCCCCAAGCTGGTGCCTGGAGCCGGCCCTGCAGAAATGGTCTAGATAATACTTAGTCCTGCCATGAGTGCAGGGGACTGGACTAGATGACCTCTCGAGGTCCCTTCTGATTCTATCATAGTGAATGAAATCATTACCAAATCAGAATAGTCGTGTTTTACACTCACTTTGCACTGGTGTAAATGATTATATAAAATGCAGGGCAATAGTGAATCAGGCCCTGTGTTTCTGCTGCTGTCTTCTGGCTAATTAGGCCAGATCCCCAGATGGTGTAAATTGGTATACTCCTATTGACTTCAACAGTGCTATGCTGATATATACCAGCTGATGATCTGGCCCTTTATTTTTCACTCCTCATACTTATGTCAGATTCATTTTGACTGATTCACACATATACTTTTTTGCCGCATATGACTTTTAAAGGAATATTTAGAATGTTTCTCAATATATGTCACTCAACACATTTTTTACAGGGACAGATCTATGAGTTATGGGGATGCAAGAAGCTCACAATGACATTTCTAAATTTCTCAAAAAAGTGGAGACTTTGCTATATTAATTATTCTAGGAAACTATATGGTTTCCCCTCCAAACCCACCCCCATTTTATATTAATAGCTGTTATTTATAGAATGTCATTAGTGTACATGGTACTTTTCACACATGTAATATCACAAGATACTTGTCCCAAATGGCTTACAAACTAACTTAGATAAAAGTGTAAGAGAAGAACTAGATGTAGCACCAAAACCAGGATGATTGCTTTTTGAGTTTGCACCCGTCTTATTAGTTCCATTTTTGTGGGGGAGTTTTCCCTTCTTTACTTTGATATTATAATTTATATTGGTATTTAAGTGCAGGCTACATCGAGCCTATAAGGAGAGACATGAGAGCAGGGTGGATGGTAGTGATGGAAGGCTAGCTTGGAGACACATGAAGGAGACTGAGTTTGCTTAGTGTACTAGAAAAGGAGTACTTTAATTCTGACCTGGAGGCACTTTGCCTTCCTGTGAGGGCAGTTCCATCCCCATGCCCATTCAGTCCATAGTCCCTCTGATGGGACTGTTACCAGGACTGGCAGGGTGGTAGAATATGAGGATGAGAATTGTCTATTAGGAAGTGGATTGAAAATACCAATCTAGGTGAGAGCTTTCTAACAGAAAGTGGCAAAGGTTTCCACTACCACTTTAAACATGGGATTATTAACAAGGCAGCAATTTAATCCCTTTGGGCTGGTCTACACCCAGCCGCTAGTTCGGCGGCTGGGGATCGAAGTTCTGGGTTCGTCTTATCGCGTCTGGTCTGGACGCGATAAGTCGAACCAGGAAGTGCTCGCCGTCCACTGCGGTACTCCAGCTCGGCAAGAGGAGTACCGCGGAGTCGACGGGGAGCCTGCCTGCCGCGTGTGGACTGCGTCTGAACCGCGGTAAGTTCGAACTAAGGTATGTCGACTTCAGCTAAGTTATTCACATAGCTGAAGTTGCGTACCTTAGTTCGACTTGGGGGGTTAGTGTAGACCAGGCCTTAGAATCCTCAACTATATGCTCTGCCACAGAGTCCATGCTGCCAGCCTTAATATCATTAGTGAAAACATTTTTCTAACGTCAACATATTTATTCAAAATAGGAGAGTCTACAAGAGCAGAAAAAACAAAGGCATCTATTTTAAATAAACATTTATTTTTAGATTGGCTTGGTTATTATACTAAATGTATTAAAACGATTTATTATTTTTTAGAAAAACTTTTATACAAATCTGATTCTTGTAGCATTTTAATCATCCTCATCTTCATCTTCTTCTTCCTCCATCTCATCCATTTCCTCAGCTGCAGCCAAAGCTTCTTCCTGTGCAGCCTTGAGTGCCTGCTCCTCTTCCACAGTAGGGTCATTCATTTCAGTGATTTCTGGCCCACTAGGGTACTCTGTCTGCACTGGTGGGGGCATCGAGGGTGTGTAGTTATCTGGACTGTATTTGTGACCCCAGCCCAGATAGATATTATCAAATTTCCTGAGGGGAAAAAAGCAAGATCACACAACTTCCTGGCAAAAAAACCCTTAGGGCTCTGCCTATTCTTAGGCTTCCCCACTTCACTGAACAAAACCCAATATGGGACATATTTTCTATAGCTAGCATATTCAATAATGGCATCTGCACTTAACTAATGTAAATAATGATGAATGTGTCATGTGGCTATTAAAGATCCCATGGCACTTTTTTGCAAGAATAGGGGTGTTAAGCCTGAAGTCTTGGCCAAATACTAATTGGATAATTACATTCTATAAATCTGATTTCCACTACAGTGTCAGTGAAGATGGTATTCTTCACTTCTTGCCCTAAATTATCATTATTATTGCTGTGCACTGTTAAATGGCCTCCATGATCAACTCCCGAGGTGGCTACATTTTAGTAGTGGGTGAAGTCAGTGGATTAAAAATCACCAAAACAAAACATTTCAACTGAATGAATTAAATAGGTTTCTGTGATTAACCAGTTTAAGATGGAATAGGAGTGAATACTTTGAGATACCAAGGTTAACCAGTCTAGCTATATAAGTAAGAGCTACCTACTTGCCGATAGCATAGGAGTATGCTCCAGGCCACAGGTTGGACTGAAGGACTGCAATGGCATATTGAGGAACCAGGTTTGTGGATAACTGAGATGTCCAAGGAGGGATGTTCTGAATTTCTGCCAAAAAAACCAACAACACACACGTGAATGATCTGACTTATGAACATCTATGAAATATTTGGTAGTTAGGTACAGGACAGGATTTTATCTCTATATAGTTGTTCTCAAAACCCAAGCAATTGATGTATCCTAAAAAGGGATTTTAAAATGGATGTTAAAGGAGTTGATAGACAAGGAGCAAGAACTTTAAATATTGTGTAAGCCTTATAATCTAAAGTCTGGTGTGGAGTCACTGGTTGATAGTCACAGAGTTATTAATTCAAGGGTGTAGTAAGAAGAACAGGAGAAAAGAAGGTTACACACACAGCTCCTGAAATTCAGTGGTACTTAATTAAATACCAGTTCCCCAGGCAAAGAACACTGTGGACCACATACTGATAAATTTGGGAGACCCAGATCCCAATAATACAAAGATATGACCTTAATCTAAGAATGGAGTGATTGTACCATTGTCCATGACTTGCTGCAGTATTGTGCTCTAGGATCTAAACTTTTATGTAATTTTTTTCGAGCATAAGATAATGACGAAAACATCAACTCAATGTAACTGATACAGTGTTGTCTTCCTGAACCTGCAGAGAACCTGAGACAGTAGCTTTGAGAGGTGAAATTCCCCCTTTCCTCAATGTGGAGGAAGTTTGGAATTTCTTCAAATTAACTTTACAAAAACTATCTGAAGTTTGCACCCCAAGCAAGGGGAAAAACTTGTAGGGAAAGGCTTCAGAGTCAACTTGATGAAGAACCACTTCAAAAAGGTTATTAGGAGTAAGTAGGGAGTCTATAGAGAATGGAAAAAGGGCTTGATATGCCATGGAAGCTACATCATGGAGGTTAGAAAATGTAGGAATAAAGTGAGATTTTCTAAAAGTCAAGCTGAATTAGCTCTTTCCACGGAAATAAAAACAAATAATAAGAGGTTTTTTAGTTATATAAATAAAAAGAGAATAAGGAAGGATGAGGTTTGGCCGCTATGCCGTATGGATGGAAAGGAGATTAAAGACAGTCCAGGTATGGCCCAAAAACTAAATGAATGCTTTGCCTCAGCTTTCAGTAACAATAATAACATAGAATATGTGCGTGAAGGCAGTAAGGCTGATGGAAAGGACTGTCTCGAAATGGAAATTACCACATCTGAGGTGGAAGAAAAAATTAAAGATCTAAATGCACTCAAATTGAGGTGACAGGAAAATGTCCATCCTAGAATACTGAAAGAACTGGCACATGAGATTGCTATTCTGGAAGGGAAGGTCTTTTAAAATACCTATATATTCGGGGGCAGTACCACATGACTGGAGAACAGCTAACAACATATCTATATTTAAGAAAGGGGGAAAAAAGTGATCCGTGAAATTACAGACCTGTTAGTCTAACCTCAATAGTAAGCAAGGTTTTAGTATAAATTTGTGAATGAAAGAATAATTAAATTCACAGACGTACATGATAAAGGGGGTGTAGTGCAACATGGGTGTGACACTCTATACCCCAAGGCAGTGCCCTGTAAACCCCATATTCATCATTTGTATATAATTGTGATATTGCATATAAAGCAGGCCAAGTGAGGAAAGGCTATGATCTGCCGAAAGTCATTGTTCTAACTAAATATGTATATCATTAGTGCATATGAAGTTATGAGACTGTGTTGTATGGTTGTCACTAAAACATGCGGTAAGTTGGGAAGCGTCCAGATACTAGCTCCCCAAAGACAATAACCAGGGGGATAACCAATGCCCGGGTGGGTGTCGAACAACCATCAACAGCCATTGTCCAGCAAGGGAGCTACAATTCAAAGACTCACCTGCTTAAGGCCATACCAGGGGAATTGCTCAACCTTGCCTGGTGACTCAGCAATGCCCACCAGACATGCCTGGACTTGTTTCTCCAAGCACATGGACTAAGGGTATAAAACAGAACACAGGGGCCCCATGTTTGGCCTTTTCTCCTTCCCAGACCTGTGCTGCAAGCAACAAGGATGCTCAGAAGACTGAAAACTCAAACAAAGGAGATTGGCCCAGGTTTCAAGGGTAAAACGATGTACTGAAATATCCAGTGAGGTGAGAAAAACTGCTTAATATAGGTGTTGCCCAGTCTAATAGGGTTGAGAGTTTAGACTGCGTGCTTATATTTTCTTTTCTTTTGGTAACTAACTCTGACTTTTTGCCAATCACTTATAATAACTTAAAATCTATCTTTTGTAATCAATAAACTTTTTTTTACTGTTTATCTTTACCAGTGAGTTTGCCTGAAGTATTTGGTAATTCTGCTCAGGTTTACAAAGTCTGGCGTATATCCATTTTCCATTGATGAAGTGGTGAGCCAATTAATAAACTTGCATTGCTCAAGAAAGGATCTTGAGCAGTGCAAGTTGGTACCTGAGGTACAAGGCTGGAAGTTGGGGGGATTTGGCTGGTGCCTTTCGCTGTGTGATTCATGAGTGGCTCCAGGAGCATTCATGCAATCTAGCTGGGTGTCGGGCTCCACATGCGGTTGTGCTGAGTGATAATAGTTCCTGGAGGGGTTTGCTGTTTGTCACTAGCAAAGCACTGTGAGAGACAGCGCAGGCTGGAGAGCTAAGGGGGTACAGTGGTCCTATACTCCCAGGCTGCACCCCGGAGATCCTGTCACAATGGGTTTACCAAGGGTCGATCATTCCAGACTATCTTGATTTCCTTCTTTCAGAAAACAACAAAAAACATTTTTTTAGATAAGGGAAGTGCAGTAGATCTAATATACTTGGACTTCAGTAAAACATTTGACACAGTACCATATAGGAAATTATTGGTTAAATTAGGGAAGAGGGGGATCAGTAAAGCATTGTAAATTGGATAAGGAATTAGCTAAACGGAAGAAGGCAACGGGTTGTGATGCAAAGTGAATTACTGGATTGGAGGGAGGTTACTAGCAGAGTTCCTCAAGGATCGGTCTTTGGACTAATCTTATTCAATATTTTTATTAATGATCTTGGCACAAAAAGTAGGAGTGTGCTAATGAAATTTGCTCATGATACAGAGTTGGGAAGCATTGTCAATACAGAGGAGGATCAGAATATTATACAGGAAGATCTGGATGACCTTGAAGACTAGTGTAACAGAAATGGGATGAAATTCAGTAATATAAGGTGTAAGATCATGCACGTATGGTCTAATAATAAGGATTTCTGCTATAAGCTGGGGGCTCAGAGGAGGAGAGAGACCTGGGTGTGGGGGCCATTCACAGGATGACTATGAGTTAATGCGGCTGTGAGAAACACAAATGCGATCCTAGAATATATTAGGCAAGGTATTTCCTGTAGAGATAAAAAAGTATTAATGGCATTGTACAAGGCAATGGTAAGACCTCACTTGGAAAACTGTTTACAGTTCTGATGACCCATGTTCAAGAAAGCTGAATGTGAACTGGAACAAGTGCAGAGAAGAGCTACTAGAATGATCAGGGAAATTGAGGGCCTATTTTATGAGACTGGAAGAGCTTGGATTTTAAGTCTAGGTTAAAGAAGGCTGAGAGGGGATAATGATTGCTCTCTGCAAATAAATTAGGGGGGGTAAATACCAGGAAGGGTCAAGATCCATTTAAGCTAAAGGACAATGCTGGCACAAGAACAAATGGATATAAACTAGCCATAGACAAATTCAGGCAGGAAATTATAAGATTTCTAGCCATCAGAGGTGTGAGATTCTGGAACAACTTCCGAATAGGAGTTGTGGGGGCAAACAGTTTAATTAGCTTTAAGAGAGGGCTGGACAAATTTATGAATGCAGTTGTATGACAGGGTTGCATGTAATGGTAGGGAGTAAGGCTCAGAGCCCTGGGACTCACTTTCAGTTTATGTCTTTTGTTCCTAAAGCAGGAGTGAAATGGGATATACGAACCCCACACTAAGCATAGACAGAAGGGGGAGGAGAGCCTCTCAGGTTTACAGGCAAGCAGCTTGACCACACCCCATGCATTTGCCATGGCTGCCAATCATGGAGGCAGGCACCCACAGCTGCAGCCCATAGAAGAAACAAGGATGGCTATAAAGGGGAGAGTACAGAGAAGGAAGAGGAGGAAAAGGGCCCTGGGTCAGCAGAGGGGTAATGCCCCTGCATCAGGCTGCCTCCACAAACACAGCCAAGAGACTGAAGCAGACTGCTAGACTCACTTAGAGGTGAGGATCCAAGAATTGCCCTGACTGGGGGCAAACTAAGGGGGGCCAGTCAGAAGCAGAAGAGACCCCTGAAAAGAGCACACCAGGAGGTGGTGATAAAGGTCAAAAGTAGGGCTGTCGATTAATTGCAGTTAACTCACATGATTAACTCAAAAAATTAATCAGAATTTAAATCACACTGTTAAACAACAGAATACCAATTAAAATTTATTAAATATTTTGGATGTTTTTCTACATTTTCATATATATTGTATTCTGTGTTGTAGTTGAAATCAAAGTTATATTGTTTTTTAATACAAATATTTGCACTGTAAAAATGATAAACAAAAGAAATAGTATTTTTCAGTTCACCTCATACAAGTACTGTAGTGCAATCTCTTTGTCATGAAAGTGCAATTTACAAATGTAGATTATTTTTGTTACATAACTGCACTCAAAAACAAAACCATGTAAAATTTCAGAGCCTACAAGTCCACTCAGTCCTACTTCTTGTTCAGCCAATCGCTAAGACAAACAAGTTTGTTTACATTTACAGGAGATAATGCTGCCCTCTTATTTACAATGTCACCAGAAAGTGAGGCATTTGCATGGCACTTTTGTAGCTGGCATTGCAAGATAATTTACGTGCCAGATATGCTAAACATTCGTATGCCCCTTCATGCTTCGGCCACCATTCCAGAGGACATGCTTCCACGCTGATTATGCTTGTTAAAAAAATAATGCATTAATTAAATTTGTGTCTGAACTCCTTGGGAGAGAATTGTATGTATCCTGCACTGTTTTACCTGCACTCTGCCATATATTTCATGTTATAGCAGTCTTGGATGATAACCGAGCACATGTTGTTCATTTCTTAAAATGAACATTTCATTTCTTGTTCATTTCTTAAAATGAACACTTTCACTGCAGATTTCACAAAATTCAAAGAAGGTACCAATGTGAGATTTGTGAGCTACAGCACTCAACCCAAGGTTTAAGAATCTTCCAAAATCTGAGAGGGACGAGGTGTGGAGCATGCTTTCCGAAGTCTTAAAAGAGCAACACTCCAATGCGGAAACTACAGAACCCGAACTACCAAAAAAGAAAATCAATCTTTTGCTGGTGGCATCTGACTCAGATAATAAAAACGAACATGCGTCAGTCTGCACTGCTTTGGATTGTTATCGAGCAGAACCCATCATCAGCAAGGACACATGTCCTCTGGAATGGTGGTTGAAGCATGAAGGGACATATGAATCTTTATCTCATCTGGCATGTAAATATCTTGTGACGCTGGTTACACCAGTGCCATGCAAAAGTCTGTTCTCACTTTCAGGTGATATTGTAAACATGAAACGGGCAGCATTATGTCCTGGAAATGTAAACAAACTTGTTTGTCTGAGCGATTGGCTGAACAAGAAGTAGAACTGAGTGGACTTGCAGGCTCTAAAATTTTACATTGTTTTATTTTTGAATCCAGTATTTTTTTACATAATTCTACATTGGTAAATTCAACTTTCATGATAAAGAGATTGCACTGCTGTACTTGTATTAGGTGAATTGAAAAATACAATTTCTTTTGTATTTTTACAGTTCAAATATTTGTAATCAAAATAAAATAATATGATCACTGTACACTTTGCATTCTGTGTTGTAATTGAAATCAATATATTTGAAAATGTAGGAAATATCCAAAAATATTTAAATAAATGGTATTCTATTATTGTTTAACAGTGCGATTAATCCCAATTAATTTTTTAATCGCTTGACAGACCTAGTCAAAAGGGATTCTCCCGCCCAGTGTATTTTGAGAGGGTTTTTTATCTCCTTTCTCTGAAGTATCAGGGATGGCCACAGCTGGAGATGTGACAGTGTAGGGTGGCACTGAGCATTCTCTCTCTCAGGTGCTGGGCTGGCTGGTTCTTGCTCACATGCTCAGGATCCAGCTGATTGCCATATGTGGGGTCAGGAACAAATTTTCTACCAGATCAGATTGACCATGACCTTGGGAGTTTTTTGCCAGCATGTGTGTGTGGGTCACTTGCTAGGATTATCAGAATATATCTCACTTAATCATTTTCCTGCCATTGGTCCCTCCTAGTGTCTGCCTGTGGCACATAAGAATCTAGTCTCCTGTAGGTTATAATACGTTGGTCGCATTTCAGATGTTGGGTTTAGTATGTGGGGTTGGTGCCCTGTGATATAAAGGAGGGAAGGCTAGTGATCCCTTCTGGCCTTAAACTCTATGACTCTAGTGGAGTTGTTAACTCTGAAACCTAAAGATGACAGTTTAAATGTCAACATTGTTAACTATTTCCCTGTTGATCATGTTAGCAGAAACATACAGTTAATGTGATTATCTCACAATCCCAAGCTACCCCCCGCATGCTGCCTTGGGGACCCAAAACTCTAGAATGTTTATTAGATAGCTGCTAAAAACTCCAGATGGATGTTCACTGTAAAAAAAGATCAATTATTCAAAGAAGTCAGAGTGGCCTGTACCTGCATCTTCAGAGAGTGGAGTCAGAAGAGGGGGTCCCACTTCTGGCTGTGGTTCATCTGGCTCTTCTGCTTTTTCTTCCTCCTCACCTTCTTCTTCTTCTTCCTCTGACTTTTGAGAGGGGTTAATCCAGGAACAGCGGCCCTACAACCGACGTACCAAGAGTTATAAAGCAGGTGCAGCAATCTTTGAAATACTGTGATGTGAGTTAAAACATTCCGTTCAGAAGAACTAAGGTGCCTAAACACCATGGTGATGGGTGGCATATAAAAAGAAAAATAGATAAATAGATGATATACAATTATACTTGGCAGAGTTCTCCAGGCATCCCTTATTCAATTAGCTGCTTCAGAATTCATTGCCTTATACCTCAGCCATCAGGTTTCAATCTGCTTTAGAGTTCTCAATTTTTTAAAAAGATGCACTTAGTGTTAGTGAAAGATTTTGGACTTAAACCAAAAGACTAAAATCCTATATTAATTCATAGCTAGATGGTGTTGGTAGGCAGAGCCCAGCAAGGGCTTCACCACCCCAGGGGCTTCTTTAGGAGGCACCGTGCCTCAAAGACACAACTCTGAGGCACAATTCGCCCCCTGCTTCTTCCTCCAGTGAAGGGGTAATAATTTGCTGCTGGCCTATACCCCTGTGCTATATTACCCATCCCTCCCTGTATAGGGGCATGAAGTAAGCAGGCACATAGCACCCACTTACTCCTGTATTTCTAGACCTAAGGTCCAGGTAGCCTGCACAAGTGTGTAAAGAGAAGTCATACTTCTCCATCCTCCCCTGTGCAGGCACATAGTCCAAATTACAATCCAGGCCTCACAGAGCAGAGACAGCATAGGCAGCAATGATGTCTGTATCTCCATACTGTTTTGCCAGAGTGCCTCAGTCCTGACCAGAAGGGATCACTTTCTATGGATGAGAGGATGGTTCTGTCCTGGGTCCATCGAATCCTTGGCCTTGTTGCTGATACTGACAACTGTGATGGTACTATTCCACTGTGAATACAAGTGGCAGAATTGATTAATAAAGTGGAACTTGATTAATAAAGAATTCAAGAGGGTAATGTAATTAATGCCAATCAACATAGGATTATGAAAAATAGATCCTGTCAAACTAACTTGATATGTTTTTTGAAAAGATTACAAGTTTGGTTAATAAAGGTAATAGTGTTGATGTAATACATTAATGTAAGGAGTTTGGCTTGGTATTGCATGACATTTTGATTAAAAAGTTGTATGATACAAAATGAATATGGCACACATTAAATGGATTAAAATTTGGCTTACTGACAGGTCACAAAATGTAATTGTAAACAGGGAATCATCATCAAGCAGGGGCCTGCAGGGATTGGTTCTTGGCCCTACACCATTTAACATTTTTATCAATGACCTGGAAGAAAATATAAAATCATCATAGATAAAGTTTGCATGTGACACAAAAATTGGGGGAAATGGCAAACAATGAAGAGGACAGGTCACTGATAAGAGCAATCCAGATTGCTTGGTGAGCTGGGAGCAAGCAAACAATATCCATTTTAATATGATTAAATGTAAATGTATACATCTAGGAAAAAGGAATATATACTTACAGGATGAGAGAAACTATCCTGAACTCTGAAAAAGATTTGGGGGTCATGGTGGATAATCAGATGAAGAAAAGCTCCCAGTGTGACACTGTCACCGAAAGGGCTAATGTAAACCTTGGATGCATAAACAGAGGAATCTCAAGCAAAAGTAGAGAGGTTGTTTTACCTCTGTATTTGACACTGGTGTGACCGCTGCTGAAATACTGTGTCTAGTTCTGGTGTCCACAGTTCAAGAATGATGTTGATAAATTGGAGCGGGTTCAAAGAAGAACCACAAGAATGATTAAGGATTAGAAAACATGCCTTATAGTGGTAGACTTAAGGAGCTCAATTTAACTGAACAAATAGAAAGTTAAGGGGTGACTTTATCAGTCTATAAGTACTACATGGGCAACAAATATTTGATAATGGGTTCTTCAATATAGCAATGGTATCACACAATGCAGTGGCGGAAAGTTGAAGCTAGACTACTTCAGACTGGAAATAAGGTGTAAATTGTTATCAGTGAAGGTAATTATCCATTGGAAAAATTTACCAAAGGTCATGGTGGATTCTCTATCACGGGGAATTTTTTTAAAATCAAGATTGGATGTTTTTCTAAAAGGTATGCTCTAAGAATTACTTTGGGAAGTTCTATGATCTGTGTTATACAGGGGGTCTGACTAGATGATCAGAACAGTCCCTTCTGGCCTTGGAATATATGAATCTGTCCACCATTTTGTATAGGTTACTTATTACATCTGGCCAACAGCTAGAAGGAACAATTCAAAATGTCCTTAGATTCTAAATATCTATTGATTTTATATTTAAAGCCATCATACTGTTGCTAAGAAATAAAAAAAACAAAATATTCCCCAATACTCAATGTGTGACTCTACAATATTACTGTTGTGCTGCTAGAGGGCAGTCAGTCACCCAGCAAAGAAAGATCAAGTTAACAAATACTCTTCCCAGACCTGTGTTGACATCATTAATGCTGCTAACTTTTAACAAGGAAATAAATGACATATCACACACAGCTTTTCCTTCAGAAGAAACAAAGGGACCACAATAACAGAGTTAAGTGTTATTGTCAAGCTTCTGTAATGGCATTACTTACAGTGTAAACAACAAAAATTCAACTGGAGAAAATATTGGAAAGTGTGCCCTTTATGTACAGTTATGAACAGCCTACATTGGTATTAGCACTCTAGCTAGTCAAGCATACCTAGTCATTGCCAAGTCAGGAAAGAAACTGTCTCTGACCTTTGGAGAAACAGAAACCAGCCAGAAAGGATCAAAGTCCACCAATGCTCAACCCCATATAATTACAGGAAATTGATTATTGAGGGACATACTCCCTTATCCCAACAGGTTATTCCTGCACATTTATCCTGAGGAAGGCATGCAACTGCCGCCCCCCCCCCCCGCAAAAAAAACAACAACCTAGAAAGTTGCTGCCAATATGCCATAGCAGACAATTCTAGCTCAGCCCCAAATGAGGTGAACAGTTCACCCTATGCAGAAGAAGATTTTCATTTACTTTCTGAGACACCATTGGTAACCATGTAATTGGTATCCAAGATCAATATTGATTACATAGAGCATTACCTGCATTAGAATATTCTGTACATGATGCACCCAGTTGGAAAGGGAATCCACAAGTTCCATCACACTAATGGTCTCAAAGTCAGGATTTTCTTCATATGTGTCTCTTCCTGCTCCCCCCTCCTCCTCTTCATCTCCTTCCTCCTCTCCAAACTGGTAGAACCCCAGTGGGCTGATCTGGGTCCCTGCTGAGATCCGGGCAATCTGAGCACGCAGGTAATTGGCCTCATTCCCTGGGAAAGGTGGATAGCTCACAATAGGAGCATCCAGCCTTCCAGTGAAGAACTTCTTGATTTTCCTGGCAGCCACAATTTGCACTGGTGTCACTGGAGGTAACTTCACCCAGGGTTTGCCTGGCTCATTACAGACAAAATAGATAAACTTATTGGTGCCAGTCCGGTTTTCTTCTTTTGGGACCACTGGTGGGGACTTATAGGTGGACTTTGGTGGCTCATCTTCTTTCTCCTCATCTTCTTCTTCATCTTTGTCCTCACTCCCCTCTTTTCCCCCCTCCTCAATCACTTCTTCCTCCTCTGTCTCCTCCTCCTCTTCCCCCTCACGGTACTCTACTTCAGCCACAATATAGTTCATCTCCAAGCCCAAGATCTTGCCCCAGAAGCGACATGTCTGGATTGGCTGCATGCTGACGAGCTGCTTGAGGGCAAGGAATATGTGGTAGTTTTCATCCATGCTCAAGCCGACTCCAGCCTGTTCAAAATAGAAGGCTGTCTCCATCACATTGGGTAGAGGGCTATCTGTCTAGGGAAGAAATTGCCGAAGTTAAAGCTGAGGTATAAATAAAAAATATTTTTAAAAGGTTAAGTATATTACCCACTAAAAATAATACTTAGCATTTATATATTGTCTTTTATCCTTTCAAAGTGCTTTATAAACATTAATTAACTAAGCCTCACAACATCCCCTGAGGAAGGTAATAATATACCATTTTACAGAAGGAGAAATCAAGGCAGAGAGCTTAAACAATATGCAGCTTTCAGGTAGCAGAGTCTGGAAAAGAATCCAAGATTCCAAACTCCCAGTGCTCTCTTAACTACTTCAAAACATTCAGGGTCAGACTAGTTACAGGTGGACAGTATGAGCAATCTATATAAGGGATCTCAGTGCTGGCACACATATACTAGTATATCAATGCCACTATCTGGTTGGGAGGCCACCGATGACCAGGGACAGTGAGGCTGCATTTCCTCATGTGCATGACAGGTGCATTTTGGAAGAACAGGATAATCGTTTTACATATTTAGATAATTTGGTTGGATTTCAAAAACCTGAAAGAACCGGAGAAATTCCATATATAGCCAGCAATCCCTCCCAAATATTAGTCACTCTTTTGGATACCTGGATATAGAGGTATTCTAAGCATGCATTATTTAAGCTTGACTATATTACATGTGGTATTTTCAAAATCATTCAGCATTGGAGTACTTCTGCTCACATTGAAATCAGTGGTAAACCTTCCATTGGCTTCAATGGGAACACAGTTAGGCAACCACAAGCCTTTCTCAAAAGTCTCCCTATGTCTTGCCATCGTTACCCCTTTACCATTTGGAGACTCATTCCCAGCCACTTACATCAGATAGAGGAGCAAAAAAAGTAAGACTGGAAGTTGTATACTATAGGGTGAATAGTTTGGTGGAGTGACAATTGGCTTATGTGGAATTTCTCTGACACTGTCAAGCTTTTAAGTATCAGCCAATTAGGTTGAGGATATGAAAAATGCAATTTCTTCTTCCAAAATACATCACTTTTTCTTACAAAGACATGTTACCACTTTGTTCTTGGCTATCACTGACCTGAAGATGACTGGTACAGCATGGACAAGATGGCTTAATGTCTTTCTATGTTTAATGTTCAGTTGCAATGATTTACTTGTACATATAATGTTGACTTGATCTGAAGGTCAACTCCAAACAACTGGTATTTGCTTTCTCCACCTAGTGGTTCTACCTTTCACCACCTAGTGGTTCTACCTTTCACCACAGAGCTCTCTTAAAATCATTTCAGAACTTAACATTCAGCAGATTAGAAGTAAGGGGACACAAAAAGTACCTGGCTGCTTTTATATGAAAAATACCTTTTCAGTTCTACACTTCAGTTCTTTAAGCCAAATGTCACCATAACTTTTTTTTAGCTGGGACACTGACCAAAACTGCAACTGGAATAAAAGGGAGTTAAAAATTCTCCATCCTTTGTCCTGCAGTGAACACACTGCCCTTAGCCCTGTTCCCCATGCATCCCCATATGAATTTCATTTTAGGCCAAAAAAATTAGTCAGTCTAGTTTATGTAAGGAAAAGAGAATGCTGTAACTCTTCTTTTTCATCCCTCATTTCTAGAGGGACAAGAGGTGGAAGCCCCACTGAAGGGATCATTTAAGATTGCGAGGGGCAAAGCAGTGAAGATTGGAATATACTGTAGGGAAAAATCCTAACTTGCCAGGGGATGGGCAAGACAACCTCAAGCCTTTTCCATCTTTAATCTCTGTTTCTACAACAGTCACTCACTATTTCCTCTTCTGGCTCTTGATCTCCTCCCTCTCCTGTCCCCTTGAGGAACAGAGCCTTACATTTCTCTGCCAGCTCAAATGTTGGAAGCATTTCATGCTCATCACGGAGGGTGTCCATTTTTTTCTGGAACTGAGCCCATTTCACATCCTTACTGATATTCTCAATGATGTCTACTGCATTTATAGGGCGTTCATCCAAGATCTGGGTCAGCATTTGAGCAAGATGATCATATCTGTCAAATCAAAAGAGAATGAAAACCCAAGGAAGAATATTACTGCCCTACTATATCAAATTATCAGCAGAGTTGGTTTCTCATGTCAAAGTTAAAGGCATATGTCCTGGGATAACTCCTGAGCTCCAGGGCCGTCACTACAGTAATTAGCTCTAATATTGAAAATGGCAGCTGAGTGTTATGGAAATTAAGCCTGAAATATATACCTGGTAATATTCATAAGGAATAGCTTGTTTGTAGTATGTCTAATAACATGTTCATCTTCCATTTATAGCTTTTCCCACCATCTCCTCACTCACAGTTTGAAGCTGGATTTAAAACTCTTAATCAGGTCTATCTCCCTTTAATCTCTCTAAATTCCTTTTGGTAGGTCTGATCCTGAGTGCTGCTCAGAACCTATAACTACTACAAAAGGATTAACCCTTATGTCCTTGATTCTCCCTGCATGCTTCCGCTTCCCCTTCCCTCCTATACCTGCTTACCTCTTTGTCCTCTCCACTCACGCTACCTTCCCCTCCACGCATATCTCCTTCCCCTACCCATCTTATTCCCCTCTTTTCACACTCACAAATTCAAGCCAGACTTTGTGCTGCTCTTCATTAGATAGGCCTTTGCATTCTGGATTGCCAGTGCTCTAGGTTCAGGATCAGGTATTTCATCCTCGTATGGGCTGTATCCTGGCTGATAGAGCCCATAGCCTGGGTCGTGTGGTTGATAAGGGCCATGTCCAGGTACAAAAGGCTGATAAGGACCATGCATAGGTTCTTGTTGCTGATAAAGGCTTCCTCTTGGTTCCTGTGGCTGATAGGGGTCTCGTCCCGGGGCATGTGGCTGATATATGCTTCGTCTCGGGTCTTGTGGTTGGTAGGGTTCTTGTCCTGGTGCATGTGGCTGATATATGCTTTGTCTAGGATCTTGTGATAAGGGCTGATAAGGCCCTTGTCCCACTTGATGCGCTTCATACGCAGATTGTCCTGGTTGGTGAGGCTGATAGGGAGCTTGACCTGGTGTGGTATCCTGGCCTGGTTGGTGAGGTTGATAAGGGGCTTGTCGAGGTTCATAAGGTTCATAAGGAGATTGTCCTGTTTGGGAGGGTTGGTAGGGGCCTTGGCCAGGTGGGGGGGCCTGACCAGGCTGGGTGGGCTGGTAAGGGCCCTGGCCGGGCTGGGTGGGCTGGTGCAGCCCTTGGGCAGGTGGGGGGGCCTGACCAGGCTGGGTGGGCTGGTAGGGCCCTTGGGCAGGTGGAGTCCCCTGGCCGGGCTGGGTGGGCTGGTAGAGGCCCTGGCCGGGTGGAGGGCCCTGGCCGGGCTGAGTGGGCTGGTACGGCCCCTGGACAGGTGGGGACTCCTGGCCGGGCCCCTGGTCTAGCTGCTCGGAGCTCTGCCCTGAGGGGGGGGACGCCTGAGCCTCCGGCGGGGGTTCTCCGGAGGGATCCGCCATGGCACTGGCTGCCGGTTGGGGCTATCGGTCCCGCAGCACCAGGGTCCCGCCGAGCCCCGCCGGCGCCGCCGCCGCCTAGACTCCCGGCTTCTCCTGTCTCCAAGCAACAGCTTCCAGCCCCAGAGAGGAGGCGCGGGCGGGGCGTTGCCAAGGTAAACTCGACTCAGTTGCCAGGCTGACTTGATTGGGCGCACGTGCAGCACGTGACCCTACTAGGCACGAGACCAGGCCCCAGAGCGAGCCTGGTAGGCTGGCTGTCAGAGAGAGCGTAATGACAGGGGCGGGGAATCCCAGCGCTAAATCCAGTCCCCCACGCTTCTTTGCGGGTTTCACCCATGCTGGGCTCGCTAGGGGGTGTGGTCTTGTGTTTCTATTTTGTTTTTCGAGAGGTACTGAGCATCTTTGGGGAGGGGCGGTCTTGACAATACAAGGCAAAAATAAGGGGAGGGCTAGCCCTGAAAAGTTTACAGCCTAATAATGCGTATATAGGGACATGTCCATACAATCTGAGTTTGTGGAGCTGTGGCCAAGCAGCACTTTGATCACTCCACTTCCCTGCTCTTGTGCTGTACCCCTTCCACACTTGATCCCTGTCAAGTTGCCTAGCACAGTGGTTCCTAAAGTGTGGGTTGTGCCTTCCTGAGAGTTACAAAGGACTAGCCTCAGGACATGAAATGACCTCTCAGTTTGTCCTCAGAGCCTCAAATTTCATTTTAAAAAAAGGCCTGGGCTACATGACAAAGTTGCACAAGTTTTACTTAAATTGAGTTTTAAATTGATTTAAACTGATGCAAAGGCCTGTTCAGATATTTCATTTTTGAAGTGGCTTATTTAGGTTTATCTTAAATTGACCCCTAATTGAATTTAAGATAAACAGGGGAAAAAAAGACTTGTTTAAACCAAAATAAGTGTGTCCAAAGGGGATCTGCACCAGTAAGTAAACTGATTTAAAGGCACACCTTAAATTAAACTAGTACAAGATTCTCATGTAAAAAGCCCTGAATCTCTAGCAGAGACTTAAACTGCACCATTCATTTTAATAGTGCTAATGAAGATACCAATATGATACATTAAATGTCAACATTGTTAACTATTTCACTGCTCATCAATGTATGTACAAAGGACAGGAAGAATAATATTTTGAAGCTCTACACCAGCATTTCCCAAAGAGGTGGCCGGGAGGGTGTTTCAAGCAAAGGCTCCCGAATGGTTAAAGAGGCAGACCAGGTCTATATTACAAACTTTTGCAGGCATAGCTATGTCAGTCAGGGGTGTGAAGAGGATTGATCCCTGCCTCACACACCTAGTGCAGATGTAGTTATACTGGCAAAACTGCATGTTTGCTGGGTATAACTTATTTTGCTGATGGGGGTGGGAGTGAAATAAATTATACAAGCAAAAGCACAGTTTTGCCAGTCTTACTGTGTCCACACTAGGAACACTTTGCCAGTTTACTATATATCGGGGTGGGCAAACTTTTTGGTCTGAGGGCCGCATCGGGTTTCGGAAATTGTATGGAGGGCCAGTTAGGGGAGGAGGTCATGGCCCGGCTCCCAGCTCCTATCTCCCCCCCCCCCAGGACTCCTGCCCGATCCAACCCCTCCTCTCATTCCTGACTGCCCCCTCAAACCACCCGTTCTCCCTGTCCCCTGACTGCCCCCTGCCCAGGGCCGGCTCCAGGCACCAGCTTAACAAGCAGGTGCTTGGGGCGGCCAAGGGAGAGGGGCGGCACCTGCGGCAATTCGGGGGCGGCAGGTCCCTCACTCCCTCTAGGAGCGAAGGACCTGCCGCTGAACTGCCGCCGCCGAT